CTTCTCCCACGTGCCGGCAACCACACACTGTGCACCAGGAATGGGAGGGAAGTTGGTCCTGTTCCACTTCTGGAAGAACAAGGTTATATTTAGAAGTCATCAGGCAGGCAATGATTCCTGAAGACAAACCAGGGGACCCTAGTCTGTGTTTCTCAAGAGTCAAAGTTCAAATCTGCTCTTGCTCGGCTTCTGGCAATGGCTACTCTTAAGGTCTGCATCACTAACCTCCCCAAACTCCAAGTCATCCTACTTGGGGTACCAGAGACACCTTCATACATCCCAAGGATCAAAAATGTTTTCCCAAGGGCTCACCAAACTTTTGGTGCAAAATGAGGTCCCACTAAAGTTAATAGGGATGTCCCCTGCTCATAGTCCCCAGGGCACAGTAGGTGGGGAGGGAGAAGGACCCAGTAGTAGACCAGCCTATGTGGACATCCTGGCAGGGACACATCAGAGCTGGGAGTCTGGATCAGGCACCAAGGGAACAGCTAAGCAGGAGGTCATGGATGGGGAAGGTGTACACTAGGTGGTAGGACTTTGTGGACAGGTCTGGGATGTGCTCACGGTGGTACTGTTTATAAGAGTGAAAAATGGAAACAACTGATAATCCAACAAAATAGAACTATTTGAATTAATTAAAGTGCAGTAATGTCATGGAAAAACAAGGATAAAGAAGAGTTTCTTTTGTGTATGAATGTTTGAAAAGGATATATAAGTTTAAAAAGACCTTGTATAATAGTATGTAAACTGTCTCTATGTTTAAAATTAACCATAGATATATTAATAGAGATCTTTTTACAAAAAGAAAAGAAATGATTAAAAGGATATAGTCCAAACAAAATGATTAACTCTGGTGTGGGACTCAATTTGGGGGTGGCAATTACATTTGTGGTATATCCTTTCAAAATTTCTCTTTGATTATATCTTTCCAGTAAGAAAAACAGCTAATATAATTTTATTTTTAAAGGCAAAGAACAAGAAGATAATTTTGGGGGGCTGGTCCCATGGCCTAGTGGTTAAGTTTGGGGTGTTCTGCTTCAGTGGCCTGGATCCACAGGTTCGGATCCTGGGCGCAGACCTACACCACTCATCAGCCATGCTGTGGCAGCAACCCACATACAAAATAGAGGAAGACTGGCACAGATATTAGCTCAGGACTAATCTTCTTCAAGCAAAAACAGAGGAAGATTGGCAATAGATGTTAGCTCAGGGCGAATCTTCCTCAGCAAAACAAAAACAAAAACAAAAACGAAAGGTTCATTTTGGCAAATGGGAAGAGTGGATTGGAACCCAGAGTCTGGAGGTCAAAATGTGAGAGGACACCATTGGAAGAGTTAACATCACTCGGATACCAAAATCAGTTGAGGACAATACAGGAAGAGAAAACTACAGACAAATGTCCTTCATAAATATAAATGCAAAAATTCTCAGCAAAATATTAGAAAATCGAATCCAGCAAAATATATGTACAAATACAATCAGGAACAACTCAAGGGTGTCCCCTTTCACCACTCCTTTTCAACATCATACTGGAAGTCTCAGCTAATGCAATAAGACAAGGAAGGAAATTAAAGGTAAACAGATTGTGAAGGAAGAAATAAAACTGTCTTTGTTAACAGATGACATAATTACGTAGAAAATTCAAAACAATTGCCAAAAAAATAAACTTTTAGAACTAATAAGTGATTAAAGCAAGGTTGCAGGATATAAGATTAATATACAAAAGTCAATTGCTTTTCTGTATACCAGCAATGAACAAATGGAATTTGAAATTAAAAACACAACACCATTTACATTAGCATTCCAAAAAAAATGAAATACTTAAGTATAAATCTAAAAAAAATGTACAAAATACGAGGCAAACTACAAAACTCTAATAAAATCAAAGAAGAACTAAATAAATGCAGAGATACTCCATATTCAAGGATGGAAAGACTCAATATTGTCAAGATGTCAGTTCTTCCCAACTTGATGTATAGATTCAGCACAATCTCAATCATAATTCCAGCATGACGTTTTGTAGATATTGGCAAACTGATTCTACAGTTTATATAGAGAGGCAAAAGACCCAGAAAATCAATCCGATAAAGAAGAACAAAATTGGAGAATTGACTTCCAGACTTACTATAAAGCTATAGTAACCAAGACAGTGTGTATTGGTAAAAGAATAGACAAATAGATCAATGGTATACAAGAGAGAGCCCAGAAATAGTCCTACATAAATATTTTCAATTGATCTTTCACAAAGGAACAAAGACAATACAATGGAGGAAAGATAGTCTTTTCAACAAATGGTGCTGGACCAACTGGACATCCACATGCAAAAAACGAATCTAGACACAGGCCTTACACTCTTCACTTTATTTAACTCAAAATGATCATAGACCTAAATGTAAAATGCAAAAGTATAAAATTCCTAGAAGATGATAACATAGAAGAAAATCAAGATAATCTCAGATATGATGATGACTATTTAGATATTACACCAAAGGCATAATCCATGAAACAAATAATCGATATATGGACATCACTAAAATTAAAAACACTTGCTCTGTGAAAGACATTATCAAGAGAATGAGGAGAAAAACCAGAGATTGGGAGAAAATATTTGTAAAAGACACATCTGATGAAGGACTGTTAGCGAAAATATACAAAAAACTCTTAAAACTCAACAATAAGAGACAAGCGACTTGAGAAAGAAATGGGCCAAAGGCCTTAACAGACACCTGATCAAAGAAGATATACAGGTGGCAAGTAAGCATATGTAAAGCATATGCTCCACATGTATGTCATCAGGGAAATGCAAATCAAAACAACAATGAGATACCACTACACATCTGTTAGAATGGCTCAAAACAAAACACTGACATCACCAAATGCTGGTGAGGATGTGGAACTCTCATACATTGCTGGTTGGAATGCAGAATTGTACAGATGCTTTGGAAGAGCTATGTTCTTACAAAACTAAGCACACTCTTACCATGTGATCCAGCAAACATGCTCCTTGGTACTTACTCAGATGAGTTGAAAACTTATGTCTATAGAAAAATCTGCACACAGATGCTTATAGCAGCTTTATTCATAATTGCCAAGACTTGGAAGCAACCATGATGTCCTTCAGTAGGTGAATGGATAAATTGTGGTAATCCAGACTATGGGATATTATTTAGCCCTAAAAAGAAATACATATCTAGCTGTGAAAAGACATGGAGGACTCTTAAATGCATGTTACTAAGTGAAAGAAGCCAATCTGAACAGGCTATATACTGTATAATTCCAACTATCTGATCTTCTGTGAAAGGCAAAACTATGGAGACAATAAGAAGATCAATGGTTGCTGAGTGGGGTGGGAGGAAAGAGATGAATAGGAAGAGCACAGAAGAATTTTAGGACAATGAAAATACTCTATATGATATTATAATCATGAATATATGTCATTTATATTTATCAAAACCCATGGAATGTACAACACTGAGAGTGAACCATAGGGTAAACTACAGACTTTGAGTGATTATGGTTTGTCAATGTTGGTTCATTGTTGGTGAAAAGTGTACCATTCTGATCTCATGAGTGTATTGATAATGGGGGTGGCTATGCATATGTGGGGGCAGGGAGTATATGTAAATCTCTGTACTTCTTGTCAATTTTGTTGTGAACTTAAAACTGCTCTAAAAAATAAAGTCTTTAAAAAATAACAATAACTACAATAATTTGTTAATGGATACACAATATAAAAAGATGTACATTGTGATATCAAAAACATAAAATATGGGGGCGAGTAAAAGTGTAGAGTTTTGTACGCAATAGAGGGTAAGCTGTTATCAGCTGAAGTAGACTATTATAACTATAGGAAGTTTTATGCAAGCCTTATGGTAACCACAAAGCAAAAATTCTAGTAGATATACAAAAGCTGAAGAGAAAAGAGTACCCAAGTATGCCACTATCAAAAATCAACAAGTTACAAAGCGAAACAGCAAGAGTGAAAGAAAGGAAAAAAGGAACTATAAAACAATCAGAGAAAAATAAGTCAAATAGCAATAATAAGTCCCTACCAATCAATAATTAAACATAAATGGGTTAAGTTCTCTAATCAAAAGACGAAGAGTGGCTGAATGGATGAATAAACAAGATCTAACAATATGCTTCCTATAAGATACTCGGTTTACCTTTAAGGACACACATAGGCTGAAAATAAAGGGATGGAAAAAGATATTACATGTGAATGATAACCAAAAAAGTGAGAGGTGGCTACATTTATAGCACGCAAAATAGACTTTAAGTCAAAAACTCTCACAAGAAACACAGAAGGTCATTATAAAATGATAAAGGGGTCAATTCATTAAGAGATTATAACAATTGTGAGTATATATGCATGCAACATTGGAGCACCTAAATATATAAAGCAAATATTAACAGATCTGAAGGGAGAAATAAACAGTCATACAATAAGCATAGGAGATTTTCAACAAGGGATAAATCACCCAGATGAAAAATCAATAAGGAAACATTGAAATTGAACTACATTTTAGACCAAATGGACCTAACAGTTATATACAGAACATTCCATCCAGTAGCAGCAGAATATACATTGTTGGTGATGTAAAAGGCTCTTTTTTTTTTTTTTTAATTTTTTAAATTTATTTTTCCCCCAAAGCCCCAGTAGATAGTTGTAAGTCATAGCTGCACATCCTTCTAGTTGCTGTATGTGGGACTCGGCCTCAGCATGGCTGGAGAAGCAGTGCGTCGGTGCGTGCCCGGGATCCGAACCCGGGCCACCAGCAGCGGAGGGTGCGCACTTAACCACTAAGCCACAGGGCTGGCCCTGTAAAAGGCTCTTGAACTCACCTCCTCCCATGGATACATTGAATCTATAGCTACACGCAGAACAATTCCTTCTGAGAGAAATCCAGAAACTAGCTGGGTGACTCTTACACATCAGGAAAACAAGAAAACCACATTGAAACAGGTAGGAGAGGCTGGGACATAATCGTACCATAAACCTCACCTCTGGCATGGTGACACACACCAGGAGGAAACTCAAAACTCCCAGTTTCTCCTTGAGAAACAAAGGTTTTGGACCTCACATCTGGCATCACAAATTTTAAGACTTCCAGCTGAGAGATGGGCCCCCAAAGCATCTAACTTTAAAAGTCAATGGGGCTTGCATCCATGAGACCCACGAGGCTATAACGAACTAAGAGATAGTTCTTAAAGGGCTCTGGCAGACTAATCTTGGCTAATCCCCTAGGGCCCAGTGCAGAGGCAGCAAAATGAAACAAGCCCAGTCTTTCCACAAAAGAGGCCTATTTGCATTTCTTAAAAGCTGCAGCCTGAGGGGCAGGCTTCTATTTTAACACACACAAAGAGGCTGGCTGCAATACTCTCCAGAGACCAGGGAGGCCAGTGGGTGCCATCTTTGTGCTCTCCCTCGGTCTTGCTGCAGATTGCCGGTATCTCCTAGGAAGGAGCTTGTGTACACATATGATCGGTATCTCCTAGGAAGGAGCTTGTGTACATATATGATGCCCCAGCTGTTGGGCTGCCACCCAGGGGATACCCCTTGTTTATGTAGCCAGCAGAGCTACATTCCAGGGTTCCATGGGGCTGTGACAAATGGAGAAACAGTTCTTGGCTGGCTATCCCTCAGAGCATAGCACAGAGGCAGTGTACAGAACTGCCCAGTCTTTCTATGAATAGGCCTGTTTCCTGGACTATGACAAGGGATAGTCATATGCCTTGACATATGATATATGACAGCATACAGAAGTGCTTATCTCTCATATTCCCTTGAAGGAGGTATATTTGCATACTTTAAAAGCTGCTGCCTGAGGGCATGGCTTCCAGTGAGCTTGCATCTAGGTGCTGACTGAGATTCTCCCCTTTGGGACACTGACAGTTCTTGGCACATCCTCAACTACTGGGAGTCACTAAGAACAAATAAGACTGCTTGGACAATCACAAAGGTTTAAGTGACAGCCAAGAGCTAGGGCAGGGTTGAACAACAAGGTTCATCCACTACAAAAGGCCACTTATTCAAGTTTAGGAGACTGGCTGCTTTATCTATTGGACAGAAACCAACACAGAGAGTCAAGTAAAATGAAGGAACAAAAGAATATGTTCCAAACAAAAGAACAAGATAGAAACCTCAGAAAAATTATCTTATGACATGAAGATAAGTGATTTATCTGATAAAGAGTTCAAAATTATGGTCATAAAGATGCTCACCGGGGACAGGGGAACAATGGGTAAACAAAGTGAGAATTTCCTCAGATATAGAAAAAGTAAGAAAGTACCAACAGAAATCTTAAAGCTGAAGAATACAATAATTGAACTGAGTAATTTAATAGAGAGGTTCAATAGCAGACACGAAGACGTGGAAGAAAGGATCAAAGAACTCAAAGACAGGGCAATGAAATGCATCCAATCAGGGCAGCGACAGGAAAAAAAAATGAAAAAGGGTGAGATAGCTTAAGGGACTTATGGTTCAACATAAAGCAAACCAATATTTGCATTATAGAGGTTCCAAAAGGAGAAGAGAGAGAGGGGCAGATTCTTTCAGAATTGAAGGAGAGATAAAGAGTTTTCTAGACAAGTAAAAAATGAAGGAGTTCAGGACCATTAGGTCAGCCTTACAAGAAATGTTAAACTTCTTTAAGCTGAAATAAAAGATTGCTAGTTAGTAAGAGGAAAACATATGAAAGTATAAATTTCACTGGTAAAGGTAAATAAATAGTTAAATTCAGAATAACCTAATGTAATGGTGTGGGTTAATCACTTATAAATCTATAATCAAGGTTAAAAACAAAAGTAGTAAAAATAAGTATACTACAATAATTTGATAATGGATACACAAGATAAAGAGATGTAAATTGTGACATCAAAAACTAAAATGTGGGGGGGCCGGCCTGGTGGCGCAAGTGGTTAAGTGCGGGTACTCCACTGCGGCGGCCCAGGGTTCGTGGGTTCGGATCCCGGGTGCGCACCGACGCACCACTTGGCAAGCTATGCTATGGCAGCGTGCCGTATAAAGTGGAGGATGATGGGCATGGATGTTAGCCCAGGGCCAGTCTTCCTCAACAAAAAGAGGAGGATTGGCAGATGTTAGCTCAGTGTCGATCTTCCTCACACACACAAAAAAAACAAAACAAAAAAACTAAAATGTGGGGAAAGAAAGAGTAAAAAGGTAGAGCTTTAGAATTTGTTCTCATTTAATTTGTCATTTTCTTAAAATAGACTGTTTAAACTATGAGATATTTTATGTAAGCATCATGGTAACCACAAAATGAAAGCCTCCAGTAAATATACAAAAGATAAACAGAAAGGAATCAAAGCATACCACCACAAAAAACCATCAAATCATAAAGGAGACAGCAACATAGGAAGAAAGTAACAAAGTAACTACAAAACACTAAACAAAATAGCAATAGCAAGTCTTTACCTATTAATCATTACTTTAAATGTAAATGGATTAAATTCTCCAATCAAAGGACGTGGAGTGTTTGAATGGATTAAAAACACAAGACTTAACTATAAGCTGCCTATAAGAGATTCACTTTAGCATTAAGGACATACATAGGCTGAAAGTGAAAGGATAGAAAAAGAAATTGCATTCAAATGGAAACCAAGGAAGGCAGATATAGCCATACTTATATCAGGTGAAACAGACTTTAAGTCTAAAATTATGACAAGAGACAAAGAAGGTTATTATATAATGATAAAGGGATATAACAAAAAGGGATATAAATGACCAAGAGGATATAACAATGGTAAATATATATGCATCCAACATTGCAGCACCTAAATATATAAAAAATATTAAGAAATCCAAAGGGAGAAATAGACAAGAATACAACAATAGTAGGGCACTTAATACTCCAATTTCAACAATGGATAGGTCATCCAGGCAGAAAATTAATAGGAAACATTGGTCTTGATCTACACTTTGGACCAACTGGACCTGTCAGACAGATACAGAACATTCCAACCAACAATACCAGAATACACTTTCTTCTCAAATGCACAAGGAACAGTCTCCAGGATAGATTATATATTAGACCACATACCAAATCCTAAGATTTAAGAAGACTGAAATCACATCAAGTATCTTTTCGGAATACAATAGTATGAAACTAAAAATCAATAACAGGAGGAAAACTGGAAAATTCATCAATGTGTGGAAATTACACAACACATTTCTGAACAACCAATGAATCAAAGAAGAAATCAAAAGAGCATCAAAAAATATCTTGAAACAAACAAAAATGGAAACACAAAATATCAAAATTTGTGGGATACAGCAAAAACAGTACTAAGAAGGAAATTTGTGATGATAAACACCTACATTAAGAAAAAAGAAAAACCTCAAATAAACCACCTAAATTTACATCTCAAGGAACCAGAAAAAGAAGAACAAACTAAGCCCAAAGTTAGCAGAAGGAAGGAAATAACAAAGATTAAATCAGAAAAAATAAATTAGAGACCAGAAAAACAGTAGAAAAGATCACTAAAACTAAGAGTTACTACTTTGAAAAGAAAGAAAATTGACAAACCTTTAGCTAGACTAGCTAAGAAAAAAGATAAAAGACTCAAATAAGTAAAAATCAGAAATGAGAGAGGAGACATTACAATTGATACCACAGAAATACCAAAGATTACAGGAGAATACTATGAGGAATTATATGCCAACAAATTGGAAATACTAGAAGAATTGGATAAATTCCAAGAAACTTACAACCTACCAATCTGAATCATGAAGAAATAGAAAATCTGAACAGACCAATAAGTGAGGAGATTGAATTGTAATAAAAAAAAACCTCCCAAAAAAGAGAAGCCCAGGATCAGATGGCTTCACTGGTGAATTCCAGCAAACATTTAAAAAGGAATTTATGCCAATTCTTCTCCAACTCTTCCAAAAAATTGAAGAAGATGCATCACTTCCAAACTCATTTTATAACGCCAGCATCACCATGATACAAAGCCAGACAGGACACTACAAGGAAAGAAAATTACAAGCCACTATCCCTGATGACCATTGATGCAAAAGTCCTCAACAAAGCTCTAGCCAACCAAATTCAACAGCACATTGAAAGAACCATACACCATGATCAAGTAGGATTTATCCCTGGGATGCAAGGATGGTTCAATATACTGAAATTAATGAATGTTGTATGCAACATAAAGAGAATGAAGGATAAAATCATATGATCATCTCAACAGATACAGAAAAAGCATTTGACAAAATTTAACATCCTTTCATGATAAAAACTCTCAACAAATTGTGTATAGAGGGAATGTACCTCAACATAGTAAAGGCCATATATGACAAGCCCACAGCTAACATCATATTCAATGGTGAAAAGCTGAAAGCTATTCCTCTAAAACCAGGAAGAAGACAAGGTTGTCCATTCTCACCACTTCAGTTCAACACATGCTGGAAGTCTTAGCCAGAGAAGTTTGACAAGAAAAAGAAATAAAAGCCATCCAAATCAGAATGGAAAAAGTTAAATCATATCTGTTTGCAGGTGACATGATGTTATATTTGGAAAATCCTAAGGACTCCACCAAAAACTGTTAGGACTAATTAATGAATTCAGTAAAGTTGGAGGATACAAAATCAACATGCAAAAATCAGTTGTATCTCTATACACTAACAATAAACAATCCAAAAAAGAAATTAAGAAAAGAATTCCATTTACCTTTTCATTGAAAAGAATAAAATACTTAGGAATAAATATAACTAAGGAGGCTAAAGGACTGTACACTGAACACTATAAGACTTTGATGAAGGAAATTGAAGACACAAATAAATGGAGACCTACTATCTGTTCATGGATTGGAAGAATTAATATAGTTTAAATTTCCATATTATCCAAGTGATCTGTAGATTCAATTCAATCCCTATCAAAATTCCATTGACATTTTTCACAGAAATAGAAACAACAATCTTAAAATTTGTATGGAAACACAACAGACCTGGAATAGCTAAAGCAATCTTGAGCAAGAACAAAACTGGAGGCACGGGAGTTCCTGATTTCAACTTATATTACAACGAAACAGAATGGTACTGGCATAAAAACAGTCATATACACCAATAAAACAGAATACAGATTTTAGAAACAAATCCACTCATTTACTTTTAACTATCTTCAGCAAGGGTGCCAAGAACACACAATGGGGAAAAGACAGTGTTTTCAATTAACAGTGTTGTGAAAAGTGGCTCTCCACATGCAAAAGAATGAAATTGGACCCTTATCACATACAATATACAAAAATCAACTTAAAATGGATTGAAGACTTAATCCGAAGACCTGAAACTGTAGAACTACTAGAAGAATACTTAGGAGAAAAGCTTCTGGGCATTGGTCTTGGCAATGATTTTTTGGATATGACTTGAAAAGCACAGGCAACAAAAGCAAAAATAGACAAGAGGGATCGCAACAAACTGAAAAGCTTCTGCACAGCAAAGTACCAATGAACAGAGTGAAGAGACAACCCATGGAATGGGAGAATGTATTTGCAAACCATACATTAGGTAAGATGTTATATCTAAAATATGTAAGGAACTCAAACCACTCAACAGCAAAAAACAAAAACAAAAGCAAAAGCCAACCAAATACAGTCATCCCTTGGTATTTGCAGGGGATTGGTTCCAGGATCTGACACCCCACCACACCACCACCCCACCACCTCACCTCCCCGTCCTCACTGCGGATACAAAAACCCCCAGAGGCTCAAGTCAGTTAGTTGCCCTCCATATCTGCGTGTTCCACATCCAAGGATTCAGCCAACTGTATTTATGATCTGGAATTCCCAGATACAGAGGGTCGACTGTAACTCCATTAAAAAATGGACAAAGGGGCGGGCTCCGTGGCTTAGTGGTTAAGTGCGCGTGCTCCACTACTAGCAGCCCGAGTTCGGATCCCGGGCACACACAGACGCACCTTGTCTGGCCATGCTGAGGCCGAGTCCCACATACAGCAACTAGAAGGATGTGCAACTATGACACACAACTATCTACTGGGGCTTTCAGGGGGAAAAAAAAAGGATGAGGATTGGCAATAGATGTTAGCTCAGAGCCGGTCCTCCTCAGCAAAAAGAGGAGGATTAGCATGGAAGTTGGCTCAGGGCTGACCTTCCTCACAAAACAAAAAACAAGAAACAAAAAAAGGGCAAAGGGCCTAAATAGACATTTCTCCAAAGAAGTTATACAAATTGTCGACAGTTTTATGAAAAGATGCTCGACATCGCTAATCATGAGGGAAATACAAATGAAAACTACGACTATAGTTAACAATGTATTTTATACTTGAAATGTATTAAGATAGAAGATCTTAAGCATTCTCACACACAAAACGATAAACATGTGAGATGATTGATGTGTTAATCAGCTTGATTGTGCTAATCATTTCACATGTGTTTAGTATACGTATCTAGGGACAGTGATTGCAATGTGGTAAACATCCAAGATGGAGCTATTCCTAAGCAGGAAATATATGAGCGTCTGAAAATTTCAGTCTATGATGGTGACAGTAACAATGAGAAGATGCCGTATCAGCATCACCAAATACATAAGGAATAGTAGCATTTCATTCAAGTCCTAAAATTCTTGCACATCAGAAAAGCCCATGAGGAGGATCTCAGTCACCACGGTGGCGTTGGGCATTGTTGGGAAATAATACAATATTAATCTGGAAAGAAAAGAGGTAGAATTTTACAAAATTGTGGAGAATTGAATAAGGAAAAAAGTTAACCAAATAATTTAATGTGGATTCTGTTGTTTATGTTTTCAGTTTTGTTATATTAGAATTAATTAAATCTATTATACAGGCCACTTTTAACCTCCTATTTGCTCAACTTACTTGAATTGCCCACATTTAATTCCAGTTCTGCCCCTCTTTAAGAACTTGACTTGGTAAAGTTAACTAAACTATCCATTCTCCTGTCTCTCTCTCTCTCTCTCTCTTTTTAACTTAGGAAATGAAGATAATAATAGCACCTTTCTCATGCTTTTCAAAATTATCTTTGAATGGTTTCATATATGGAAAATGCTCAGCACAGTAGTTGGTAGACGGTAAATACTTAGTAGAAGCCCAGTATCTTTCCTGGGAGTTGAGCATAAATAGAACCTGCATGTTTGCCTACAGCTGTCTACATGTCTTCACCACATGTAGAGATTTATATAGAGAGAAGATTTATATTTAGTCATGTGAGGAATAATGTACATCTCATTATACTTGTATCATGCCGTTTCATATTGGTATAAGGCTGAAAAGTTGAAATTAACGTTTAAATTTACAGATGAAGAAATGAAATCTCAGAAATGTTATGCTAATTTTTAGGTCTCACATTTAAGAGTAGAACTGCTTGTGAGATGAAGGGCTATTGTTCAAACCCAGATCTGCCTGAATCAAAATTCTATGCTCACCCTCCTTCTTTAATCTGATTTCCTCTAATGTCAATGATTCCTCTCTGTTTTTAACATGCTTGTGTTGACTCTGGGTCACCGTGACTAACCTCCTCTTTTATTCATTTTCTCTGATGTGAAATATAAAAAAATCCTCTTTTGATTTACTCTTTAGTTATATTTTAAAAAGTGAATTGAGAAACCCTTTCAATGATCTCAAAATGGCTCCATATCTTTGAAAACTATTGACTCCTTCCACATTTTTCGGAGCATCAATCCTTCCTCTACTTCATATGGACTGGAAAATCCAATTCTAGGACTAGTTTGGTTTTTTTTTTTTTTATCTATACTCCTACTAAATTTCCTCTGCTTTGGCTCTCCTGTGTACTTTTTAAAAAGTCTATGTGTTTAAAAATTTATTTTAGCTAATAATTATTTTACATACCTTTTCTTTCTTTTGTAATGTTGCAGAGAAAGTTATATTTCTTCCTAAGACAAATTCTTCATATGTTAATTTTTATTTCTTCATCAATCCATCGGATCTTTTCTTCCATGTAGGTTCCTCTTTTTAACATTTTTTTACTTCATAGAGCTGATCTTGTATTTTACTAGTATACTATCTACTATTTACTATATATTTCTCCTACTTCAAATTTTTCAAGCGAGTGGTCTGTACTTCCTGTTTCAATTTCTGCAGTACAAACAATTTTTTACGTTCCCTACGTCTAGAGAAACTCTCACCAATAACATCTTACTAAGTGCGTTATATGATTTTTGCCTCAATCTCACCCCACCCAAGTTGCTATGTCTGGGTTCCATAGTTTGGCTCTTCCCTGTTTGCCTAATTTTGTTTCATTTAAATTCATAATTCCTCATAATATGAAGGAATATGATGATTAAATCTTTATGATTACTTAGTGACTTAGGTAGAGTTTATCATATATTATTGACAATTTTCTAGAGATGAAAAAAGTTATGTTCAGAAAGGAACTGTGATTTTTCTACATACATAGTAGAAAGAGTAGAAATAGATATATTAGTAATAGTAGTAGTAGTAAGTAAGTGATTATGTATCAATTGTAGTTATAGTATTCAAAGAGAATAAATATTATGAATAACAGATAATATTTTTGGTTATTTAAATATTCTAATACTATTAATAAATTACTTTTCTGTTTCATAGGCTCCAGAGTATAAGCATGAATGTGAGATAGAGCCTCACTGTATAAAATATAGCAAGAAAAGGTTTTAATCATATGCCAAGCTCAATGGTAACCATATATAGATGGATAGATACTCCCAAGCAAGACAGATATGATAATAGGGGTATTTTGGAAAGGTTCTTTACTTGTATCTACTTGGGACATCACTAAATAGAGGGAAATTTAATAAGATAGTGTGGTTAAGGTAAAGTGTGGTCCTACAATTACAGGGACACAAACAGTCCTAATGGTCTTAGGGCTGATTTTTCTCTAAATAAAGTAGTTGTGCTGGATTTTGGTTGTCAACTTTGCACTGCCACCATTCACTTTCCTCTGTATTCAAAAAGCATGTTTGAGCAGAGTTCCTTTACTCTTATGAGTCCGAGTTTCCACTGAGAGGGATTTGAACAATATTTGATTGGCAGAGAGGAGGAAAGGCTGTTATTTTCAGAAGATCATTAAAACTTCATACTCCTTATGGTCTGCCATGATAGTGTCTCAGACAGCTTTTTGAGCTCCTATTTTGTGGCTTGGATGACCAGACATGGTGGCTTTATAGACCTCTCTTTAAGCTTCCACTTTGTTCCTTGGTGGCTTGATGTGGAGGCATCTCAGACTTTTTCATGAGCTCCTGCTTCAAAAAAGTGATAGGCAAATACAGTAGTTTCTCTGACATCTCTGAACCCTAGCTTCTCTACTTATGTTTATGAAGTAACTCTATCTCTATTACTTTGGCTGCAGCCTACTCAGGGCTTTACTATCCCAGCTTCATCCATATTCATGTAAACGATTCCAGATTCATCTATATTCTTTAATTATACCCCTTTATTTCCGTAATATGTGTTGTGGTTCTGTTCTTCTTCTTGAACCTAGAATGATGGTATTTTTGGTGGCAGAAGTGGTTCCTTTGGAATAGACACATACAGATGATAATCTGGAATCAGTTCTCAGAGCTTTAAAGATTTTGAAGCTGTAGTTATCCCAAAGCCAAAGGCAAAATAAACAATATTAATCCATCCCAATAAATGTCATTAGAGCAGTTGTCACCTATAATCACCATGAGTCAAGTGCAATAGAAGGCAAGACTTTGGGTGATTGAGCACCTGATACAATAGATTATTATAGTGGAAATAAAGAGTACAAAGACTGTGGTGTGTTTGGCTCCTTAAAATTGTGCTAAAGAGCTTTGAGAAAGAAAACGATGAGCTCAGAGCATTCAATTTCCATTTCAAGATCTGGATAAGGAACAGGGAAGATTTTCTTATTGACCTCAAAGAATCCCTTAGCTCCTTAGTTCTGTAAAGTTGAGATTTTGAAAACTGAACATAAAAGTCTGATCCTGTGGGTGACTGAATTTAAGTAAAAATTGAACTCACAGCCTCACAGGAACTCTCAAGTCAATGTTTGGACATTGATCAGAAATGAGAAGGAACCTGAAAATTAGGATGAAACATTAGGGTTGATTCCAAAATAATCTGAGACCTTTAAACTCTAAAATTCTGCAGAGCTTTTCTTGCCAGCCAAAGCTGACCTCCACATCCTGTTTAAAGAGGTTCACACCTCTTTGCCTGAAAAACCTGTAATGATCTTTCTTGGGGTATTCATCCTCCAAGGCAAAATAGATCTTTCTTAAGACATGCCTCTCCACGTCTCAGTTTTTCAAATGCACAACTAGACTTAAACTTCTGGCAGGTTACAGAGGGATGAAAAAAGTTCTAAAAATTCTAGCCTTTTGGAAAGTATCATACACATGAAAGGAATGGCCCAATTCTGCCAAT